CATAAAAATATATATACATTACTTGCTGAATAAAGTATTAGTATAATAACTTTTCTTTAACAAAGTCCTGGTAAAATATATGTATATTTTGCAAGCAGCAAATAAATTGTATAAATTTATTTTGGAGGTGTGTAATTTTTGTGATACAGAAGTCAAATTATGAAGACCTAAAATCCTGAAAATGATAAAATCTCACTATTAAAGAAAAAGATATAATTAGACACACAGTATAAATTTTAAATAATAGTAGCAAATCTTCTATCTCCACTATTTAAGTGAGGTTATATTAATAAATCATACACTAAAGACTAAACTATGACACATCATTATTCAAAGAGATTAAAATACAAATTATCATAATTTCTAGATACATCAATAGCACAAAGCTAAACTAAAGAAAATAATACAAGTCAAAACTCTAAATTGTTTTTGTTAAAAACGCCAACAAATTGAAATTTGACATTTACGACCATAGAGAATGGCTCTCATATATGGTAACACTCTCAACCATTTTACTCAGCGCCACTTGCGGTAGTCTCTGTGTACTCCGATGGGTTTGTAAACGTGCTAAGTAACAGTTTTAGGTATCCGTTTCAATATAAATTGCTAGAACTTCCCGTACCAATTTTTTCTTTTAGAAAAAGGTTAACATTTTTGAAAAAAATTTGCTTTGAAAATATTAGATTTTTAGAAACTTTAACTTTTTGACAAAAATTTACTTTTTTGGAAAAAAAAAGTTTTTGAAAAAAAATTTCTTTATTTTGAAATATTTTGCAAATTCTGAACTTTTTTTCAAAACAATCGTACTGCTTTAACTGCATAGAGACGAAATATCGAAGCGCGCAAGCGCCGCGTCGCCGTCTAACGAACAAACGATGTTACGGAACCCATGTAAATGTAAGTAAAATTTATATCTATTATTGAAATCTCCATAAAATATCTGATAATTTGATGTTTTGCCTATGTCTAATGATCATTTTTGACCGCAAAATGGCATTTTTTTTTTACTTTTTTTATTAGATCTCCAAAACTGCTAAATCTGCCTTCCCAAAAATTGTATCAGTTCTTTATCTTGTCAATACAAGTAAAATGTTTTTTGAATTATTAAAATCGAACGCTCCGTTCTCTTAAAAACTGAGTTACCGTTTGTTGCACTTTTTGCCCCGTATCTTAGAAACGGCTAGACCTGCCTTTGCCAAAAACTAATCAGCACGTCTCCTCATCAACAGCAATCGAAAGTTTTTTGAATAATTGAAATCGGTTAATCGGTGTTCCCGAAATCGTCGATGAAAATTTGTATCTGCACGCACACACACACACACATACACCCATTTTTTTCTAAGGTATGTCAAAATGTTCAGAAACCTCTAAACGTAAAGATATATAAAAATTTTCATTATAGATTTATTTGCAATTACTATAACTTACCCTACGGGAAGTTAATAATATTTGTAAATTTAAATACGTAAAAATAAATGCGGTAATTACAAAAAAGCAGCTAAATATATTCATCGGAGTTATAATAACCAAGTTACAGCCCATTATAAATCATTTTAACCTTCACTCTGATTTTAGGCTTTAATTGACTGGGGTAATTAATTTATTTTATATATTTTATATTTCTTACCTATAAGGTGACACCCTGGTGTTCCGGGTTATTCTAAAAGCAGTATTTTATCTTGGATCTAGATCTTTTGTACTGGATTGTCCCGGGTTTTCAAAAAGTACAGGTTTGAATTGAATCTTTGCAATGTCTTGATGCTAAACTAACTCCCAATCGAACATCTGAAAATATTATATATACAATGAGTACGATTATATGAAACCATACATTATGAACGAGTGAATTACCGAATACAAATTTTCAAAGACGGGATAAAATAGCCTCTCACATTAATAAATTCTAACTTTTATTTTCAATTTTATGAAAATTGGCATAAATTATGAAAACATTATTTTGACTACCTGATAATAGTGCTCATTTTCTCAAGATAATTATGAAGCGAATTGAACAGAATTTTATACAAGGCTCAAAAACAAAAAAAATGGATAAAAAAATATAAGATAACATCATAGGCTAAAGAAGAGTGTATATAACATATAAAACCTTTCTTATAGTATCCTTAAATAGTATTTTTGATATTTTAAAATTATATTTGAGTTATTTAGCGTACTCCCTCCCCCATCGTCCCGGATTAGCATAACTAAAAATTGACATTCCGGTTTTGATTTGAAAAAATATGGTCACATTAGTAGTTTAGTACCTATTACATTCATTAATAAGTTGAATTGCAATCTAGTTATATGCATTTCATATTATCAGTTTTTTTAATACTATGTATATATAAAATTAATTAAATTTTAAGTTCCTTTTAAATAAATAAATATTCTCAAAGTGCTTATGAGATTTATTCTAACAATAAGAAAACATTATGAATTTTGTAGTAAAACTCTCGAATTTTAACTAGAAGGCTGTTCTAGGTACACAGCGTAAGGTTTATCATACAAAATGTACAATTTGATACGTAAAACTAGAACAGTAAAATAACTAGTAGTATGAGCCATCGTGCTTTAAGGCAATTTGCTGAAACTTCTCGTTTCAGCAAAAATTTTCATTTTTAATCAAATTACAAAGAAACGGCTTGGCCAATCTAATCGACGCAATTCTTCATCGAGTTACATCGAATGACTTTTAAATTTTTAAAATTGGTCCAGCCGTTTTTGAAATAACATCGACGAGAGATCAAAAGTTGATTCACATACACACACACACACACAAATTTTCCAAATTTGGTATCATCTGATTCATGATAAATCAGATTGATCGAAAAAACATAAACTTATCAAATTTGATTTTTTTCACAAAAACACACTTATCCTTCGGCATGTTAAAAAAAGTTTATTCGAAATATGACAATTGGAAACCGTTTTGATTAGTTTTTATTCGTATATTGGTAGTGTTGTAATTGTTGAATTCATTGTACTAGTTTAACAATTCTAGAATTGCTCGATATTTAGCAAATATTGTAAACATTTTTACGCGAATTTTAGAGTTTCAGTAATAAGTATACTTATATATATATAAGTATATTTATATATAGCTATAGCTATATTCTATGAATATTTTTGGTATAAAAAGGTCATGTACTTGCCTTAAGGATATAAATTGTACTTACATACAGTTTAATAATGCAAATTATAGAGAAATGGTTCATTAAATATGCTAATTATCAATCTGAAGACATCATATATTTCACAAAAAAAAATCAGTTTTTGTCAAAAAGGTCAAGATTTGTCTTTCAGTGTAGTAATATAGCAATATAAAATTTCTAATTTACATTGCTTTTTTATTAAAATTATAAAGAAAACGTATGATGCAAAATTAGAACACCAAATTTTTTATAGAAAGTTGTATGGAAAAACCGATAAAATTAAGAGAAACTAATTGTCAGATTCAATACGAACGAAAAATGTGTTAGATGCAAAAACTTGTTTGTTTGGAAGAAAACAGGACTCAGTGTTTAACTCGATTTATAATTATATATTACTCTTTTACAAAAAATATAAAAAAAAAAGTTTGGATATTACTTTTAAATTGATAGATGTAACTATGTATTCTTTTATTATTGAATTGAAATAACTAACCTATAAGATTCAACGAACTGCAACAAATACATAATATACAAACAAATCAGTGTTTAATACAGTCCAGCTACAAGGGTTAAATTATAACCCAACAACCTGAGTATCGAAGGAGAGTTTCAATACATGTTATAACTACGTAGCAAAAGTACAGCATGAAACTGATTAATCTCAGAAAATTATATCGTCGAGATAAAATTATTATTATATCGACTTCAAGCAGAAGCATTACATTTAAATCATATTGGCTACCTATAACACTTATAAAATTATACTTTGAATTAAACCGATATTAGAGATTAGATCAAGAAGCAAAAAGAAAACTGTACAACAAATCTGGTAAAATCATCAATTGAAAATCATATATGAACCATGTGAGTAATTTGAAACTAGAGCATAGATCAAAATTTCTATAGAAAGCGTTATAGAAAACCTATTAGACTGGAGAGAAAATAATTGCTAGATTTAACATGACGACCAAAATGTTGATGTCTTGCATGCATAAGTCTTATCACGCAACGAAAGCGAAAAATATGGATAAGTTGTTCTCAAAATCTTATTCCCACACAAGATGTTTTTTGATATTCAGACAAATTTCATTTTTTGCTTATCGTTTATAATTGAAATTGAAATAATTTTTCGACATATTTTAATAAAAATAAAATATAAAATGTATTTCACATGTTTAATAAATATAAATAGTATATTTATATTTATTGAATATAAATATTATTATATTTATATAAATATAAATCTGATCGATAAATTTCCAAAATTTTATTGCAACTAATAATTGTTTGTATTTGTCTGTATATATATATATATATATATATATATATATATATATATATATATATATGTATATTTATATATTACCCAAATGACCCTTAAAAAAGTTATATAACAAAATAAAAATGTATAAATTATTGCTCATAAAGATTATAAATAATTTAACTTCACTGTTTCCAACAGTGTGATGTTGCAATAAAACAAATATTTTGCCTACACGAGTGGTATAGCAGTTTTGATAAAATTTTATTAAGGATACAGGTATTTATAGACACTTATACATCATGCAGTTAACCTGAATGTAACATAAGAGTCAAATAAAATGATTTTTGTCACATATAATTTATAAATCGTTTTATTATACTATAAATAAAAACTGCCCAAAAGTTCAAGTTTATAAAACTTATAACACACGTTTCATGATAACAATAATAAATACTTAGTACTTATCATAATTAAGATAACACAGGAAAATAAATAATGAAATAAATAAAGAATTCAACTGAGTCGCTTAGTCGATGGCATCGAGTGATCTCATTGTATTTTATGCAATTCATGGTGTTTTTCATTTAAGGTTTGTACTGTTGAAGCCAGGCACGGTATGCCATCTCATTCGCTTCAACTTCCCTTCGTCTCCTGTGATGTTCACCGTGGTGTGGAATGGAAACGTAGCTCACGTGGTGACCACCGTCGTCATGACTATGCTCTGATAATTTTTTCACGCCGATTATAGCAGACAACATCAGAGCCATCATGGCGATACCCAAAGCTTTCGCAGAAATTGCTGCTATACCTCCGAGACCCAGGGCGGCCATGGTCTTAGCCATCATCATGCCCATCATCAGGATCATGCCGCTGCCTCCTTTGTCCTTCTTACGTGCCTCTGTAAACATCCAGATAATTAAAATCTTTACATGTGTGCATTTATTTAAAAATATAACTCAATAAAATTATAATACAACAAAACTTTTTATATCTTCTGCAAAATAGTAGGCTCTGTTGGTATTCTACATTTGCTAGAAGATTTTATCATGACGTATATCACTGTCATAAAATGCAATATATTCGATAATAAAACCGACATTATAACATTTCGATAAAATTGTGTAATTCCATTGCACTCCGGCATAAGACTTTAACACCTAACCCGGTACACGATAATCACCAAATTCACATCAGACGGTGAAAATTATTTATTGAAAAATACATAAAAAGGGATTTTCTAAGATTTTCAGGCATTATAGTTATTTTAATTTAAAAATAATTTAATACCCCGATATAAAAAATGAAACAGTTGAGTATTTTGGCTTCTAAATATATTATAACATAAGTATAATATTAGATTGTCAAATATCTCCCTTCCGCTTTTTTGCTCTTGGTTTATGACACAAAAAGGCGGAAGGGAGATATTTGACAACCTTATATATTATATGCACTTGTGTGTTTCTTGATTCCTTATCTTATATACTTGATTTTTTCATAATACAAGTACAATTTAATATGACAAGTGATTTTTAAAAAACATTTGCAAATGAATTGAATTCTCACCTCCTAAGGATTTATCCTGTTCCAATTCCTTGTATGTATCGAGCACAACTTTTTTTAATTGTTGACTAGGCATGAGGTTGCTTAATTTAATTTTGAGTTCGTGCGATTCGAGATATCGTGCCATGCGTCCTAAGAAGGATTCGTCCTGAGGTAGAGAGCGAGCTCCGTTAGCCCTTGCATCCTTGAAGGACGAGTTTTCGACGACCTCGACGCCGTCGGCCAGCTGTAAGACGTCGGCGCTTTCTGCCGGAACGTATTGCTGCAAAGCCTCCCGCACGACGCGCGCCCCATGGCAACCAAGAGGATTCGGGCTATCCTGGCACTTATCCGCGAAGCACACAGCGAAAACACTCACAATAAGAACACTCAGTTTTACACACGATATCATTGTGAAATTATTTTTAACTTTATCCTCAGTCAAAAGCCGATTCAACGATAGAAGTAATTTGACTATTCTATTAAAGGAAGTCCGACAATGGTTGGACTACAATAAACACTGATGTAAAAATTAATTGTAACACCACATATATATACTTTCAACAAGATCATTTCACTTCTTCTTTCTCTGTTCAAAATTCCAACATAATTACACTTACTAGAATAGTACTATTTCATTCAATGTTAACGTGCGTGCCCCCCACTTACGAACTAAGAATAATTTCCGCAGTTTTTTCTCTATCGAAAAATGAATATATTCATTAATGTTTGACTCGTCGAAGTTTGGGTCTAGTGATGGATTGCAGTTGATAGCCTAAATATACTTTCAACTGGAATTCCTTAATATTAATATATTCAAATTGTACAAAAATCCAATTTTTTACATTTATGAATAATTTTGTTCTTACATGTTAAAGCCCGCAAAAAACATTTATATTGACAGATAATTTTTTTTTTTTAATTTTCATAGCTTCAATAAAATGTACTATTTCCAAGGAAACAATGCCATGTCTAATTTCGTCTTTTGAAAACGTAGCTTGTAAAACTGTAATAGAAAAAAGTGTTTACGTTCACTTTTGTTCTAGTTCTAATAATATATATATATATATATATATATGTTTCAACGTCGAACAAAAAATCATCAAGATATATATATATATATATATACACGAAATGACAATGACATTGATGACCGTTAACTTTTTTTGAGAGGAACCTACATAGAAATATTTAAAGAGCCTATATAGAGCAATAATTTTCTTATTGGTAATGTGAGTAGATGAATTGAAGTATGAAGATTCTAAAAAAAATTGAATAACTGGATTCTAAACCTCTACGTACACTCTCAACTGCCAGTTTTAAAAATTACATAACTTTTTAAGATTCATGTCATTTAATAATCCTGGATTAAATCCATTTTATGACACTCTATTTGCAAATTATATCTAATCTATATTAGCTAACCCTTTCATTTTGCAACGTTATTCGCTTCTTAGTCAATTGCTACTGCAATAGTGATCACATATGGATCGCACAATACTGATAAAATCCACTAAAATCAGCTTTTAGTGGACAATAAGTAAGTTGAAGTAGATACTATTATACCTCGCTTAGCGCTCCATCAAAATAGAGCGTAATGCGAAATAGCGATAAACAAGACTATCTTTACATAGAAATGTTGGGGTTAGGGAAAGATGGCTAGGAAATAGTTATGTATTAAATTTAAAAAGTATGTTATTTTTTAATAAAAATAAAACCAAACATCTATTTCTTAAAGCCCAAATTAATGCCACAAACGAAACAACGTTAAGCGGGGTTTTACTGTATCAACATTTTTGTTTGATATGTGATAAATACCAAAACCAATTAAAGAATTTAATTTATTTTTGGTTAATAAAAATGATAAATTAATGTTCTTTTATCCAAAAGTGAATAATATTTTGAAACTGAAAATAATGTAGGTCAAAAACGTTATAACTAGGTAGAAAAAGAAATAAAAACAATTTGAGAAAAGCCTTGTTTTGAGTGTTTCGCAAGAGTTGTGCTGGAAATAATTGCCATTTAAGATTAATTAGTTGTTAGAGCAATTGTCAATCTCACTCTAATTCGGTTATGTATAATTATGGAATATTACTTATATATTTATATGAGTACCTACAAATAAAATATTGAAAATATCAAAGTAGTTATTGATTTCCAAAAGGTATCAAGCCAAAGTGGAAACTATAAGGCTATCTAGAATATCAAGTTTCAACTATTTTTAGTTATAAAGATATAAAAACTAATGGGAGCGCATAGCATCGTGCCATAAGGCAAATTGTTGGAACTTCCCGTACCAAAAATTATTTTTTTTAAAAAGATTAACATTTTTGAAAATAATTACTCTGAAAAAATTAGATTTTTGAGAAACTATAAATTTTTGACAAAAATTTATTTTTTTTTTGACAAAAAAGACTTTTTGAAGAAAAATTTATTTTGAAATATTTTGGAAATTCAGAACCTTTTTTCAAAGCAATCGTACTGCTTTAACTGCATAGAGACGAAATATCGGAGCGCTTAAGCGCCGCGTCGCCGTCTAACGCATAAACATGGGTACGGAACCCATAGGAATGTAAACAAAATTTATACTTATTGTTAAAATCTCTATAAAATATCTGATAATTTGATGTGCATACGTCTAATGATCATTTTTGACCGCCAAATGGCATTTTTTTACTTTTTTTACTAGATCTCCGAAACCGCTCGACTTGCCTTTATGAAAACTTGATCAGTTCTTCATCTTGTTAATACAAGTAAAATGTTTTTTGAGTTATTCAAATCGGATGCTCCGTTCTCTTAAAAACTGAGTTACCGTTTATGGCACTTTTTGCCCTATATCTTCGGAACGGCTAGACCTGCCTTCGCCAAAAACTAATCAGTACGTCTCCTTATCAATACGAATCGAATGCTTTTTGAATTATTCAAATCGCTTAATCCGTGTTCCCGAAATCGTCGACGAAAATTTGTATCCAAACACACATACACACACACACACACACATCCATTTTTTCTAAGGTATGCCAAAATATTCAGAAACCTCTGGAACGTAAAGATACATAAAAATTTTCATTTTCGATTTTTTTGCGATTACTATAATTTAGTTATTAATTAGTAAAAAATAAGCACATTTGTAATTATTTGTACCCAAATAGTATTAAAAATAGTAATATTTCTTTAGTAATACATAATATTGCTAAAAAATACTTATTTTTATTATTTTTCAAAAATTTATACGTTTTGATAAAGTATTGAATTGCACTTGAAGCGTTTCAAATACACATGTACTATAATTAATTATATTTAAAAAAAAACGATAACTACTACTTTTTAAAGAACGGACTTTCAAAAGTCGAACAATTTTGAAGACTTTAAATTCGTATTTTAACAAATAATCTTAATTCACGAAAACTTGGGGCAATTCTGTCAATATTTTGTTGACTGTAGTCCTAGAAATGTTATTTACGGTTACGGTTTTATAGTCTAAAATTTAGACTCTAAATAAATAAAAGTAATAAAAATCAACCACAATAACCAAAAAATAGTTGCAGTTTTGACCATAGCTCTGAGTTATAAATAAAAGCTCATAATTTTCATACCAATATTTTTTATTTACGTTTTAATCGAGGTTCGCCTATCTAAGCGAACAGGTTATAGAAACACAAAATCGTTGATTGCTTTAAATTGAAAAGTCAAATTAGTGATGCATGGCCTTAAGGCAAATTGCTGGAACTTCCAATACCAAAAGTAAAAATTTAAAAAAATAAATTTGTCTCAATTTGTTTGAAAACTTCTAAATTTTGAAATTTGAAATCATCATAGTCAGTTTTTTTTTCAAAGAAATCGAAGACGAAATATTGAAGCGTCGCAGTCTAACGGATAAACATTGGTACGGAACCCATAGAAATGTAAACAAAACTTATTATTAAGAAGTACCTATTATTATTAAAATATTTAACAATTTGATGTGCATATATCTAATGATCATGTTTTTACTTTACCAGCACGTCTTCCTATCAATAGAAACCGAATGTTTTTTGAATCATTCAAATCGGTTGATCAGTGTTCTCAAAAACGTCGACGAAAAATTGTATTAGCACATCACACACGCATACATCTATTTTTTCTAAGGTATGCCAAAATGTCTAGAAGTATTTGAAACGTAAAGATAAATAAAAAATTTCATTTACCATTTTTTTGCCATTACTATAAATTACCCTACGAGAAGATAATTATTAAAATATATGAATTATATATAATTTGTGTTTCGTTTATTCTACTATTTTCCAATGCAATAATAAATACATAAAAGAGCATTAAACAAAATGAAAGAGATATGACAGAGAATGCTAATTAAAAATGATTTTATTCATAAATTATACTACTGGTTATGATTATGTTAATATTTATATGAAGTAGAATTGAAAAAAAGTAAAAACACGTGTTAGTTGTTACGTGCGTGGAATGACGGCAATGAGAGCAAGTTTCTTGAAATTTTCAGTACGAATCTAAGACCGCCCACTGGCCCATAATTCTATCGTAGCATAAAGCCAATACAAGTGTTGTCGTGAAATTTTACTTTTAACTTTTTCAGCTGTTACATACACCGCTATTCTATTATTGAATCTGCTATTTTAATAAACGGATTATTTTTGAAATAACTAATCGTGATCCTAAAATTTAAAGATTTCGAAATTCTTTTAGTTTCTTATTTATACCCTATTTGTTTTAATATACTAAAATTTTGCAGCCTAAAAAACATGATCTGGTATTATCAAGCTCATTGTATTTTTATGTAAATAATATATTTATTAATAGTTTAATATTAATCAACAAAGTTTTTTTTAATTGCATGTTTTTATCCCGACTGAAGTCTTTAACTAATTAACTTTTAAGTTTTGTATAAGTTCTAATATACTTCTAAAATTGAGATAAGGTAATTAAAATGGATTAAAGATAAAATAAAGCCAAGAATTTCAAGAAGTATATATATATATATATATATATAATATATATATAATTAATTATTGCAATCAATTGCAATTATTGCAATTTACATGTATTTATGTGACACGATCGGTAAATCGTTTAAGTTATATTATATGGTGTTATAAAATTTTGACGTCGAGCTAAAACGTGGTGATAGTATTGGCCTTAACTTTTCTTAAAAAAAATTGAAACAAAAATTATCTCACGTTGTTTGGAACTTATGAGCTTTTAAATGCAATTTAAGGCTGTAGTCAAATTACCACCATTTTTCCGTTATGGCAGTTAATTTTTACTAATTTTATTCATTTAAACTTTGGAACTGTAGCAGTGAATAACATAGTTCCAATCGAAAACAATAACACAATTGCCATAAGTTTTCAAGAGATAAATCTTTTTGTTAAACTATGAATTTAAAATTTGAAAAGCCATCATTTAAAAAAAATGTACTAAAGTGTATTGGCAAGTTTCATCAAAATTTGGCGCATTTCAGTCTGCTAGTATCATAGCAAAAATCATCTCATTTTTAACTTACCGTAGGGTAGTTATAGTAATGGGCCGAAAATCGAAAATGGAAATGTTTACACTGTTTACTTCACGTTTTGAAGGTTTCTGAACATTTTGGCATACCTAAAACAAAAATGAATGTGTGTGTGTTTTGTACCAATTTGAATGGTTAAAAAAATATTCGATTCCTTTTGATAGTGAGATGTGCTGATTAGTTTTTGGCAAAGGCAAATAAAGAGCAAAAAGTGCAGAAAATAGAAATCGAGTTGTTGAGAGAACGGAACATCCGATTTGAATGATCTAAAAAACATTCAATTTGTAAAGATTGGGAGAAGTGATGATTAGTTTTTGGCAAAGGCAGGCCCAGCCATTTCGAAGATACAGAGCTAAATTTAGGAAAAAAATTGCATTTTTTTTTTCAATAAATTTTTTTTTGTTGAATATCGGAAATAATTCAGATTTCAATTATAATTCTGGTTAAAGTTCTAAAGCTTACTTATATACTTTAAGTGAATAATTTTCACTTCAGTTTAAGTTGTAATTCAGTTTAAATAATTCTTATAAATACTACACGTTATTACTGAATTTATAATAATCTATTTGAAAACATTTAATATTCTTCGAACATTTCGTTACGGTACTGGAAGCTCCAGCAATTTGCCTCAAGGCACGATGCCATACAACACTAGTTAGGTTTATTTTTTGTTACTCAAAGTTTTCGAATAATAAAATTATCAAGTTTTTTACCATTTTACAATCCTTATTAAATGAAAATTTTGCCAACACATTTTAGTACTTTTTTTTAAATTCATAGTTCAATAAAAGGTTTAATTCTTGAAAACTTGGTATCTTGGCAATTGTGGTATTTTTTACTGCAATCGTATGGTATGGTTCAAAAGTTTAAATGAACAAAATTAATAAAAGTTAACCACAATAAACAGAAACAGGTCAAGATTTCGCCAAAGCTCTAAGTTGCACTTGAAAGCTCATAATTTCCAAACTGAGAATATTTGAGATATGATTTTTATTTCTATTTTTTTCAGAAGTTTAAAGTCAATACTATTATCCAGTTACGGCTTTACTCAAGGTCTGAAATATACTATATATAATATATATTTATGAATAAAATTTACGACCAATAATATTTTTTGAGAATTTAAAAAATTAAAAAATACTTTATATATATTTATACAAGAAAAAGAAAAATGACCGCTTTAGCTAAACATATAAATTATTATGTGCTCTGTAAGGGCAGAGTTTAATATTGTTTCAACTTCTATTCGTTATTATTATTTCTTATAATTAATTCATATTATTATAAGTTTAACGTCTTCTTGTAACGTGTAAATACAACCACGACACAACAATCAGAAAATTATTTGATTGGAGCTCAGTCTTGCAAACAATTGTCATAACTTTAATGTTATTTAAAGTGAATTGTAACTATATAATTAATTGCATTAATTAATCAAAAAAAGTAAAACATAATTAATCATGAGTTAAAGGTATCGTGAGTTTGAGTTAAAGAAAAAACAAATTTATTAGTGTATTAAGTAGAAATTAAGAGTAGGGGAGACTAGGAATGGTTGTGCTACTTTTTTTTTTAAATCAGTCGTTAATTTAGTTATCTGGAAAAAAAGTGAATTAAATGGTAATTTAAAAATTTGTCTACAAGGAAATACTAAAATACTGCCCTTAAATAGATGGATTAGTCACAAAATCAAATCATACAAAAAAAGCGCGAGTCCACGCCCGAGGAACGGTTGTGATTGTGACAGGCATAAAAATAGGTTGACAAACAATATTTACAAACACCAAAAAAGTTTATAACAACTTTCAAAATCAGAAATACGTAACACAACACAACATAATCATTTAGACAAAGCTTGTGCATATAATATAACAAGATATAAGGTGACCATACGTCCCGGATTGGCCGGGACAGTCCCGATTTTCCGCCTTGCGTCCCAACTTTTTCTAAAAGCAATATTTGTCCCGGTTTTAGGTGTTTTGTTCTGGATTGTCCCGGATTTTCAAATTTTTTTTGAATGCCAATATTTTTTTAAATATATTTCAACTAGAAAATTTGAACCGAAAAAATGTGTATATAAATTTTTAGCTCACCAACACCCTCCCCTCCGCCGCTCACGCACACTTTATAAACCGTCCCGGATTTCACGTAAAACAATATGGTCACTTTACAATATATAACAATATTTTTAGAAATATTTTCTTAAACAAGAATTTTTTGTGAAATATTTTGTTTTCTTGTATTGAATTTTTCTTTTCCCTTCACTTTCGTATTTTGTCTTGTTTAAGTAATTGGAGCAAATTAGCTCCAATTTAGATTAAGTGTGTCATGACTTTTAATACAAAAACAAAAGTGTACAAAAAATATCGATGTCTAATAAAATCATCGTTGAATCAAAAAGTATTCAATTTTAATTAATTCTGCCTAATGAGCGAAACGAAATCATATCAAAACAATAACAAAAGCGTTGTAAGCACAGCCGTAAACTTAAGCAAAGAAATTATTTATGGAAAGCTCACCAGTTAGATTTTTTAACACTCATTATCAGTGTTACATTTTTAACTTCCCGTAGGGCTAGTTATAGTAATCGCAAAAAAAATCGAAAATGAAAATTTTTATATATCTTTACGTTTCATTGGTTTCTGAATATTTTGGCATACCTTAGAAAAAATGGATGTATGTGTGTGTGTGTGCGGATACAAATTTTCGTCGACGATTTCGGGAACACGGATCAACCGATTTAAATAATTCAAAAAACATTCGATTCGTATTGATAAGGAGACGTGCTGATTAGTTTTTGGCAAAAGCAGGTTCAGCCGTTCCGAAGATACGGGGCAAAAAGTGCCGAAAACGGTAACTCAGTTTTCAAGAGAACAGAGCGTCCGATTTGAATAATTCAAAAAACATTTCACTTGTATTGACAAGATGAAGAATTGATCAAATTTTCATGAAGGCAGGTCTAGCGGTTTCGGAGATCTAATGAAAATGTAAAAAAAATGCCATTCGGCGGTTAAAAATGATCAATAGACATATGCACATCAAATTATCAGATATTTTATAGAGATTTTAACAATGAGTATTTTTTTTTTTACATTTCTATGAGTTGTTCCGTACCAATGCTTATGCGTTATACGTCGGCGCGGCACTTGCGCGCTTTGACATTTCGTCTCTATGCAGTTCAAGCAGTAATTTCTGTGAAAAAAAGTTCAGAATTTCCAAAATATGTCAAAATGAAGAAAACATTTTTCTTTTCAAAAAAAAAATTGTTTTCAAAAAAAACTTTTTTTCCCAAAAAAAGTAATTTTTTGTCAAATTTATAGTTTCTCAAAAATTTAATTTTTTCAAAGTAAAATTTTTTCAAAAATGTTAATCGTTTTTAAAAAAATAATAATTTTTGGTACGGAAAGTTTCAGCAATTTGCCTTAAGGCACAATGCCTTAATTGCCTTAAGACAGAAATCCACTTACAGCTAGTTCTCAATTTAGTTCTCTCTTGTTATCAATTTGTACATATAAAAATATAAATCAATATTCTAAATGCTTTTTAATTGATCCATCAACATATACCAACGTGTCTTCGTTTTCATTAGCTTTATATGAGGCTTATCAGATCGATTGATATTCGTAAAGATAAATCTATTGTAAGTTGTGCATAATCGTTAAAAATCCCACGAAAATCACAACTGATTCATGACTGGCAGCCGTCAATAAATGAATAAAATATATTTTTATTAAATTCTTTACTTTTATGAATTAACAATTTATACATACAATAAAATAAATAATTAGTAAATTTGTCCATTGCTGCTTTAAGCGCGGTTTAGGACTTTAATTCATTCTCAATAATATATAAATATATTTAATACGAGGACATAAATAATTAAATAAATTAATAAAGTTGAAGTAAGTTTCGTTGTCGATGGCATCTAAAGTTCTCCTCAGAAGTTTCGTCTTGTTCAGGTAGTCCGTGGTGCGTTGTGGACGTTTTTGTTCCCATAGTGTTGACGCCATGCGCGATAGGCGAAGGCGTTAGCTTCAGCATCCCTTCGCCTCCTGTGATGCTCGCCGTGGTGCGGTATCGAAACGTAGCTGACGTGGTGCCCTTCCTCATGGCCACTTCCCGTCAAGCTTCTGACACCGATTATAGCGGACAACATAAGAGCGAGACCGGCAACGCCCAAGGCCTTCAAGGCGATTGTGCCGATGCCACCGAAGCCAAGGGCTGCCATCATCTTGGCCATCATAAGACCCATCATCATTATAGCTCCACCACCACCTCCTTTCTCCTTCTTGCGGGCTTCTACAACACATGTTATAATAAAAATATTTCAATACAATATCAGATAAGATCAACTACTAATGCATTATCCATACCGGCAGATAAAGATGCATTACGAAAACCTAAAAAACTCTATATAGCCAATTTTTATTAAATAATTGTTAGGACTTTTGATAACTTCCTTTCTTAATACGGTATTCTTGTTCTTATTTATTTCTTAAACATACTTATTAATTCACTTTTTTGCATAATACGTAATGTATTCATAAAAAATCGTAAGTTTTAAACACTAGAAATTTTATGGTATACATTATATTAGTTTTTGTAAAATACTTTTACTTGAATTTGTTGATTATCACCATTGACATCATGTTCTAATAGTATCATATACAATGATATTTTGGTAATAAATTTAACAAGTAAATAATATTAAATGTTTAATTAATTAATTAATTAATTGCATTTGATGCCTTGCGTATATATATACACATATATATATATATATATATATATATATATATATATATTGTCACTTGCCAATGCAAGGAATAGTTGTTGTTTTATATTCAAAAGTCAAAATATAGTTTTTAAATAAAATATTAAAGAATGTTTAGTAATAAGTAACTGTTATTGAAAATTACACTGAAGATGAGGCACACCTTGCTCTCGAAACGTTTGTAATCATAAAATAAAGTTGTGTTAAAAAAAAATCTGAGTGCTGTTTTGTTCATAATAAACATTTAATATTCGTTCCACTCATATCATAAAATTCTATATTATATATATATATATATATATATATATATATATATGTATATATACTAAATAAATTAAATTTGAACCAAATTAAATAATTCAAGGTCACTTGTTGGGGTAAAATTTATGATTTTCTTGAGTTCTAAATAATCGAGAAAACCTCACCTCCGACAGTTTTGTCTTGCTCCAAGTCCTTATAGGTTGAAACTAAAAATTCTTTCAATTGTTGTCCCGGCATTAAATTGTTGAGCCTGATCTTTAATTCGTGCGATTCGAGATATCGCGCCATGCGCCCCAGCAAGGATTCGTCCTGCGGCAACGATCGGCCGCCGTTGATCCTCGCGACTCCGGGCAGCGCGACCTGTACGACCTCGACGCCGTCGGCCAAGCGCAGAACGTCCGCGCTTTCCGCCGGCTCCAAGTGCTGTATGGCCTCACGCACGATGCGCGCACTGTGGCAGCTCAACGGGCTCGGGTTATCCTTGCACTTATCCGCGCCACACACGCCCAAAACACACACAATAAAGACACTTAGCTTCAAATTTAAAGCCATCGTTAAATATTTCAAATCTAAATATTTATACAAACGTTTTTAACGATACTAGCGATTATGTTGTTTTGTAAGTATGTCCGTCGATGGTAATGTTGCTATCAGAACTGATATGAAATTGATTTTTAACTCCTCATATATATACCTTCAACTTGCACATTTCTTCTCTTCTTTTTCCCCGATATAAAAATCTAATATATTTGCACGTACTCATCTGTTACTATTTCATTCAATCTTAGCATGCGTTCTGCCCTTCTCCCCTCTCATGTATCAAAGTGAATCATTTAACGAACATTGATACATCTTGTGAACAATCTCTCCACGAAGAAATGGAGCATAATAAAAAAAGAATATAAAACAAACTATTTCGAGACACTTTTTTCTTGAATTATGTTTATTAAATTCTATTGAACTGATTCAGCTGTAACGGTGTGACGATATTGTCATTGATAGCCAGACCGAAACAATATAGATACTTTCTTAAAAAAATTATATTTTTGGTATTTAAATATGGGTGATATTAATAATTAAAGCCATTAATTACCTATGTTTAATTCTCTTTCCAATTAAAATGCATAGAATACAAATTAACTTAAAATATAGAGTTAATTTCTAAATCACGCTTACACATACGTAAACATTTGATGAAGCTACCAACATTTTAGAAAACTTTATTTACTAATATTATTTTTTGCTTAAAATTCGGTCAATTAATTTCTAATTCTTTACTTAAAATGTAGAGATTAATTTCTAAATCACGCTTACACATACGTAAACATTTGATGAAGCTACCAACATTTTAGAAAACTTTATTTACTAATATTATTTTTTGCTTAGAGTTCGGTCAATTAATTTCTAATTCTTTACTTAAAATATGGAGATTAATTTCTAAATCACGCTTACACATACGTAAACATTTGATGAAGCTACCAACATTTTAGAAAACTTTATTTACTAATATTATTTTTTGCTTAAAGTTCGGTCAATTAATTTCTAATTCTTTTAACGTTTTTAAAACATTTTTTAAATCTCGCTTAGCTTTAAAACCAGCTATAAGGAAGTTAATGATGAATTTTATTTTTGCAGATAACAATTGCTATCGCAAACTTTAATTTAATAATAAAATATTTAACTAAATAATGAATGAAAGCGACCTTACATCGCGAATCGTAGAGAACAAACTAATTCTAAACGCATGAATTTACATTAGCTTATCAGTGTTTCAGATATTAATATTTTATATATTTATCCACATTTATTCTCAAAGTTTGAAAACATGTGGGCTTGTTATAGCTAACATATAACTTCTTGCAAAAATATATTTAATTTAATGAGTTTTTAATATAGAAAAATATTCTGAATATGAGTACATCAACGGTTGAAATATGGTATAAAAGATTCGAGGTTAAAAAATCGTTTTATGTGCTATCGAAGATTAAGTTGCAATCCACATTCAGCAAAACATAAAAATTCTATTATGAATTTTCTTACTACGCTGTTCTGAAATAAAATACAAGAATTCCAAAATATGGGTATATGTGATGTCATATCTAAATTTGTGGTTATAAACGAGAATATTTTCATGGTTTTACCTAAAACCACACTGTATCACAAATTTGATATACATCGTTATTCTACATGATAACGATTCCAAGTAGTTTTAGAAGAAAGTTTATTTATTTTTGAACCATAATCAAAAAGTTAATTGCATATCATGTTCTTTAGGCTCATTGCATCGAGGCATCTATTTTCAAGGGTATAGAGAAGTCTTCTCCATAGCAGACGACCGCGTTTGCGGTGATAATTCCGTCATGGATCATGAAGATCTTTCTTAGTTTTTTGCGGTAAAGTGTTGCTCTAGACTCGTTATTACCTTTTCGTATTTTTGTATTAGTTAACACGAAATGCTTAGGTTGTTCTGAACAGGAACTTGCTAATTGACACAGTCTGTTTGCTGACCATATTCAGACGTGCGTGAAATATTTGTTCATCCTGAAAAATCTGTTACAGAGAGTAATTTCTTTTGAGATATGCTTTTACAGATATTCATGCACTTTTTGCGTGAGACTTTGGAAAAGCTGTTCAGCATTTTAATTCTCTCCGTATGCAAAGTAAGTTAATTCACGTGAAAATTAATTGGTAAGCAGGTGATCTCTGTAATTTGTTATGGAAGGGAGTGGGGTGGGGTTTGTAACACGATGTGAAGAGATAGTTTGTTCATAAATCATGGCATAGGTTTGCCATCAGTAGCACACATAAATCATATCGAGCATTCAAAACAAATTTAAAACTGAAAAAATTACATAGGTTAAATTATTTTGCAAAACTGCTCAAAATTTAGTAAATAAAATTTAGTTATATCATTTACAATATAAGCATTTTAGTTATTATATATTTCAATTTATATTTGGTTAACAGGATAAAAGTATAATGAAGTTTTTGAGAAATAAAGTTAAATCGATCTAGAAAAAAGATAAAGCAAATAGCACTCATTATTCATTTTGGTTGAATGTAGAAAATTAAGACAAAAAATGTGGCTTACGATGCATACATACGTATAATATATATGGGTCATTCTTTTACAAACCGGACACTTTTTAACCTTGACATTTTAGAATTGTCTGAAAATTTGTTTACAGATACTATTCATAAAATCATTTGACACGTATTTCAGGATTTTGCTGAAAAAAAATTTTTGACGTAAATATTTACGATTGAAATATGGATTTTTTGCTCAATTTCTATGAACATCATCTGCGGTAAATTAATTATCTCCGGATGTGCTGATTCGATCAGTATTATTTTTTTTTATTACACTCATATTGAAGTGAGAATTTTTCATAATGATTGAGAATTTTTTTTTTGTTTTTGCAATTTTCTTAACAATAACAACCCCTAAATATTTACAAAGGTTTTACTCGGCCTTTACCCGAATTGAATCGATCAAAACAAAAACATATATTTTCTTTTTTTCTCTGCAACAAAATTCTTTTTACAATTTGTTGGAGGTTTTGTTACATCGAAAGATATTAAATATTTTCAAGCGCGAGCCGCGCTTTTCACGTCGTGGACCTCAAAGACTTGTACTCATTTGTCACTTTCAAATGACAATCTTATTGTTTTTCGGTTGAAAAATATTTTATAATTTCGCTTCTGGCGAAAAATGAACATATAGTTGAAAAAAAAACATTAGGGGAGAGCGGAGCTTAAAAGTTCGTGGGTAAAAAATCCACTGCCAATATCTCAAAAACAAGTAAAGTTAGAAATTTTTTAACAACAATATTTGAATGTAGAGGAATATTTAAGTTGGCTTCAACCCTTTCTGATATAATCTCTATTAAAGCTTACATGTGGGTGGGGTAAACAGAGTCAACCACACCTTCATACTGGCCTAGGCGTAAATAATAAGGAAATAGTAAATAAAAAATTAAATTGAGTTAGAAAGAAGCTATTTTACAATAGATATATTGATATATATATAATTATATATAAATTAATAGTTAATTAACTCTGCTGATAAATATTTCTGACAAAGCATCAAATCAAAGGTATATCTGGTATTTTCTTTATAAAAATATACGAATGAAATTTTTATGTTACATTGGCTATAAAATTTAGCTATTATTACGTAAAATTCTATTAAAATTAAAAATAAGTCGATCCCTCTTTATTCAGGCTACGGAGTGAAGACGGAAAATGACGAATTTAAAAAAAGTGGCTGAAAAACATTTTTTTATTATTAGAAAAATCTAACTGAACAATCCGTCTACATTCAAATATTGTTGTTAAAAAAATTCTAACTTTACTTGTTTTTGAGAATTTTGGCAGTGGATCTTTTTACCCACGAACTTTTAAGCTCCGCTCTCCCCTAATGTTTTTTTTCGACTATATGTTCATTTTTCACCAGAAGCGAAATTATAAAATATTTTTCAACCAAAAAACAATAAGATTGTCATTCGAAAGTGACAAATGAGTACAAGTCTTTGAGGTCCACGACGTGAAAAGCGCGGCTCGCGCTTGAAAATATTTAATATCTTTCGATGTAACAAAACCTCCAACAAATTGTAAAAAGAATTTTGTTGCAGAGAAAAAAAGAAAATATATGTTTTTTTTTGGATCGATTCAATTCGGGTAAAGGCCGAGTAAAACCTTTGTAAATATTTAGGGGTTGTTATTGTTAAGAAAATTGCAAAAACAAAAAAAAATTTCTCAATCATTACAAAGTTCACTTCAATATGAGTGTAATAAAAAAAAATAATACTGATCGGATCAGCACATCCGGAGATAATTAATTTACCGCAGATCATGTTCATAGAAATTGAGCAAAAAATCCATATTTCAATCGTAAATATTTACGTCAAAAAATTTTTTTCAGCAAAATCCTGAAATACGTGTCAAATGATTTTATGAATAGTATTTGTAAACAAATTTTCAGACAATTCTAAAATGTCAAGGTTAAAAAGTGTCCGGTTTGTAAAAGAATGACCCATATATATATAATATATATATATATATATATATATATATATATATATATGTGTGTATATAATTAATTTATTTAAAAATTACATATATAACGAATGACCATAAACCAAAAAATGTTTTAATAAAATGTTTATTGTTTTAAATGAAACAATACCCGGTCCGTTTCCATAAATGAAATGCTTGTAAATCATGTCAAATTATCAATTTGAACAAAATAAATTTTACATTACCACAGTTAATACATTATAGTTCCACACGCATACATTTTAGAATTAATAAAGCTTTTCAAGAATTGCCGAACACAATGAACTAATGCTTTAAAATCCAAATTAATTATTTTATCAGTGAGTTTAAAACCAGCTTGAGAAATGCAAGAAGACAATATTAGACTGATGCTTTTGTAAGCATTTGTCTCGAGAATTATAATTTAGGCTATGATTAAAATAATAACTGTTCATTTTTAATTTTAATTCAGTAAAAAATACATAAATATTCTAAGCATAAATATAGTCGGTCAG